TATATATACACACACACACACACACACACACACACACATATATACACACACATATGTGATACTAGAAATGGAAACTTATTGATGATAACATACATAATTAAGCCACTATGCAGTGTATTGTGGATGGAAAACCCTTTTTGTATGCTGTGATGATGATTAGGGCATGAATGTACATTAATTAATTTTTTTAAAAAAGAAGTTTCAGGAAAAACATGCATATTTGATGACTGCAGTAAGCTATAGAGCCCCAACTAGGTGTTACTTTATAGTATGTTCATTCTACTCAGTAAGGTTTATGCCTAAAGTCAGACTAGTGTTCATGGATATGTATATATCAGCTGCACTTGCTATTGGAAATATTTAGATTAATTAAATTCATTAGCAAATCAATAAAACTGGGGGAAAAGGCATAGAAAGCAACCATGGATACCAGGGACAGTGTGGGTGGAGGGTGGGACATGACAGAAGGTGAGAGATAGGGAATCAAAGATAGCAAAAAGAAGCAAAATGTACAGGAAATAAGAAATGGAAAATTATTTCTTGATGATTACATGTATGTTGCTGTGCTTGATTGAGCCAATATACAGTGTATTCTGAATGGGAAATCTCATTTTGCATGCGTTAATGACATATAGTGATTGAATGTAAATAAATAAATTTAAATATAAAAAGAAAAAAGATAAGATGGAAAAACAATTTTAAATGTATGGATATAGATGTCAATGAGTAAATGAACTTTTAAAGTCTGCTCAAAATAAATAGGATCTTTTAAGAATGGTCTTTGAACTATTTTGCTCATAGATCAGTATTAAATAAATTCATAAGTGTCTTTTCTTATTTGTTATGTATAAGAATCATGTGTCTTATCAAAATGTGTGATAAACAAATATTTAGATATGTTATGAAATAACAAGTCACAAAGAAAAAGCACACAATATTTAGTTCTTGTAAGTACATAGGGAATGTAAAATGTAAATGTGAACTTTTCCCAAGTGTTGTAACTGTCCATAGCTTTTCTAGAAAATAAAAATTTCTCCAGGAAGGGTTCTTTTAGCTTCAGATATATTGAGAGCTTGAAATTTCTGAGAAAATTGTCATTCTGCGGTTTTAAGGAAGTTTCAGAAAACAAATGCTTTGAAATAAAGCTTTTTATATTTGCTACAGGGCACATTCGCTTGCCGGAGAGACAAAGACAGGGAGATAGAAATCACCCTCCACGGGGGATGGACATGCTGCAATCCCTTCTCCTCCATTCTTCTCCTGGGATCTTGGGCGTGCACGCACATATGCCTGGTGTGAGTTTTAAGCCGCCGGCTCTGGGACTCAAAGCATGATCAACTACATGGGAGTCCAGCAACGTAACTATTCTGCTATCTGCTGCCCCCTTATCTAGAAATACTTTAACATCATTTAAAGTGCTTCATCCCCCCAAATTATACTTTCTGGGCCTGATTGAGGTGGCATATATCAATATGCTGTACTCTGCAGTCTGGGACCACAAGTGAGGCCCAGGTTTGATTCCTGGTCCAATCTAAAGATTAGGTATGGTGGCTGCACCTGCACTGTGGTGAGGTAGGAAGGTTGAGGCAAGAGGATCGTGAACTTGAGGCTGGCCTAGGCAATGTACTGACATCCTGTCTTAAATAAATAAATAGGTAAGTTTTACTAATTCTTTGATCAGTTGTTTGTTTCTACCTATGCACCAGGAGCTGGACATAAAAGTTTAAAAACGGGGCCAGCAAGTGGCATGGTATTAAGGTACTGCACTCCCATATGACCAACCATAGGTCGAGGCCCAGACCAGGTGGCTTGCTTTCTCACTTTCCCTCTCTCTTTATCTCTTTCTGGTCAAATTAAAATAATAATAATAATAATAATAATAATAATAATAATAATAATAAAATAATTCTTTGAAAAAAACAGTTGAAAACAATCAGTAATCTTGACAGATGTGAAGACATGTGTCCACATTCCCACCCCTGGTCTCCTCCTCCAGTGTCTGTATTTGACCTGAGGCTGGCTATAATCAGTGGCATGAGATAATGGGACCTCATTGGGCATGCACATTTAAGCCTCCATCCTGGCGTCATGGGGGAGCTAAAAAACTACCATCAACACCATGCCTGATACCTCCAATAATAATGATGACTTTCATTCAAGCTGCTTAATACCTAGGACTTGTATTAACTTTATTTCTAATATTCACAAAACCCCTATAAGTTCTGTTTTATCCTTTTATTTTAGAGATAAGCTAATTTTCCAAAGGTCATCCATCTTGCAATCAAATTGAAGGGTGTTTGCATCACCCTTTGCATATGATCACATCAGATTTCCTACCTTTTTATAATTTGTGAGGACCACAAATTTTAATATTTATGCATGAAGGCATTTTGGCAACTACATAATTATTTAATTTCCTTCTATAATTGGAAAGTAAAAGAGTAGGTGTTTCCCCATTAGGGAAAATTGAGGAAAATAAATACAAATCTTTCTTAGACATTGCATTCTGAGATTTATGGCTTATACAATTTCACCTTTGATTTCTTAAATGCTTTGTGTTTTTAATCAATGTTTATCTTTAAAATATTTTACTGGTATACCTTCCTGACTTCTAAGAATCATTACTGTCACTGTTCATGAAATGTTAATAAGATATTTAAATTTCTGTAGTCATTTTACTCTCTCATCACACAAAATAAGTTCTGATGAGAATAAAACATAGAAAGTCCAACATAAATAAATTGAGTTTTCATAAAAACTTTCTTATTTGAAACAATAAGCAAGTAAGTATAATGATTTATAAATAATGATGTAACTCATATACTAAATCAATTCTTTGGAAATTTTAAGGCTGGCATATTCAAAGGTGATATAATCTCTGATGCTCTTTTCCATGTGGGCAAGGAATGAATGTATTTCTTCAGTCTCTTATGAAGTGTCACATATCATGGAATATGTATAGAGGCCTGAGTTCAGACCTTGTTTTTGCCACCTAGTAATCCTCTGTGCACAAGCTGAGTGTCGGATTTTTAATAAAGAAATAAACATTAAAATGCCAACCGGGGGACCACCAGGTGGTGTGGTGGTTGAGCTGCTGGATTCCCACGTGGCCAACTATGGTTTGAGTCCTAGATCTGGTTGCCTGCTTTCTCACTTTTTCTTTCTCTTTCTCTCTGTCTCTGTTTCTCTGGTAAGCGCACATGCCCTTGTAGCAAATTAAATAATTAATAGTAATAATAATAATAGTAAATAAAATTAAATAAATATTTTTAAATGCTAAACTGATGGCAATAGAAATAAAAAGATAAATTAATTAAAGTGATACTCATGTGAAACTGTTATATATTACAATACACTATCACATATTAGTTATTATTGTTACATTGTTTGGCTTTACCTAATCTACTACACTAATAACAAGATGAATGGATTTATTGTAACAGACTAATTTTGGGGGGTGTAATAATTAAAATTCATATTAGATTTCTGAGATCTCAAAGTCATGTAATGCCCATTGATTAAACCAGAAAATCATTACAGGATGTGGGATCTAGAGAACTTTACTCAGAAATAATAGCAGCAGTGTGCACTGAAAATTTAGCAAAAGATACACAAATATTGATCTTTTCTTTCCTACATATGTGATTTTTCTGTGCAGGCATGGACTTAACACCAGTGTAAACACTGGTACACATGAGAGCTGTAAGGGCCTGCCCAAACACTCGCATGTGAATATTCTATAAGTACGTTCATCCATTGCATTGGCTGGAAAGTCATGATGCATTTTGCATAGATAAATATGTCATGACTTTCCCAACAACCTGTAGGTAGGATGGTAGGATCAATTTCAATTTTACTTAGAAGTTTCAGGATAGTAATAAACTTCAGAAGTATAAGAAATTTCCTTTTAATTTAATTAAATCCACTTTGTATAATAGAATCAAGCTGCCATTACCCCCAAATGATTAAAATACATTCTGTATATGTGCACATATGCACACGCACACACACACACACACACACACACACACAGAGAGAGATACAGTTGTCAGTCAAGTCTTTCACACTCCTTAATTAATTATTGAATTAAGGTTTGAAATAATTGCTGTGTGATAAACGAATGTATTTACCTCTGCTTTTCTCTGAAGAATTAGATTTAGTCCACTTACTGCATCTGTGATTTGTTTGGTTTCCACGTACCCCAGCACACTGCATATTTTTTTAACTTCTTCAATAACATTACTCACGTTTTGCTGTAGATGAAAAGATTCACATATATACTGTTTATTAGAATCAAGAGGACACTTAAGTATCTTCAAACTATCTTTTTTCATAAAGAGGAAATGGAATAAAATGCGGTTGTTTGCCCCCATAAAAAAGAAAGCTCTCAAGCCTCTGGTTATCCTGTGACCAGAGCCATGATTTAGATTACATTGATACTCAATGTTAAGATTGATGTGGGAACCAGCAGTTAGCGTAATGGCTATGTCACTGGACTCCCACGTAGTTGAGCGCGGTTCGTGTCCTGGACCCGGTGGCTTAAAACTCACGCTGGGCGCGTGTGCGTGCGTGCCCAGGATCCCAAGAGGAGAATGGAGGAGAAGGGATTGCGGCGTGACCATCCCCCCTGGGGGGTGATTTCTCGCTTTCTGTCTCTCTGTCTCTCTCTGTCTGTCTGGCGAGCGCAGGCGCCCTATAGTGAAAAACCTCTCAAAAAAAAAAAAAGATTGATGTAATAGTAATTTATCTTCTTAACTAACTTACCAACTTAACATTACCTGAAATACAATGAGAAAGATGGGGCCATTCCTATAGCATAGTGGCAAAGGAAACTGGATCCCATGTGGCCAACTGTGGTTTGAGTCCTGCCTCTAGTAGCTTGAAAAATATTCCTGACACATGTGTATGTGTGCATGTGTGTGCATCCCAAATGCAAAAGGATGGAGATGCAGAAAAGAAGAAATTGCAATGTGATCATGCCCCATTGGAGACTACTTTTTTCTGTCTCTTGCTGTCTATCTCTGGTGAGTACATTACCCTCTGGCAATTAATAAAAAAATGGAGAGGCAGGGGAAAAGGGAGAAAGAGGAAGAAGGTGAGGAAGAAGAGAGGGACATAGCCTTGACAAATCTGTGGCTTATGTAAAACACTCTTAAGACATAGTGATGAAGGAAGACCCATGTAGAGTTTCAGAATGCATCTGTTTATGGAATCAATGTGCAGTTGAGCGCGGTTCGTGTCCTGGACCCGGTGGCTTAAAACTCACGCTGGGCGCGTGTGCGTGCGTGCCCAGGATCCCAAGAGGAGAATGGAGGAGAAGGGATTGCGGCGTGACCATCCCCCCTGGGGGGTGATTTCTCGCTTTCTGTCTCTCTGTCTCTCTCTGTCTGTCTGGCGAGCGCAGGCGCCCTATAGTGAAAAACCTCTCAAAAAAAAAAAAAGATTGATGTAATAGTAATTTATCTTCTTAACTAACTTACCAACTTAACATTACCTGAAATACAATGAGAAAGATGGGGCCATTCCTATAGCATAGTGGCAAAGGAAACTGGATCCCATGTGGCCAACTGTGGTTTGAGTCCTGCCTCTAGTAGCTTGAAAAATATTCCTGACACATGTGTATGTGTGCATGTGTGTGCATCCCAAATGCAAAAGGATGGAGATGCAGAAAAGAAGAAATTGCAATGTGATCATGCCCCATTGGAGACTACTTTTTTCTGTCTCTTGCTGTCTATCTCTGGTGAGTACATTACCCTCTGGCAATTAATAAAAAAATGGAGAGGCAGGGGAAAAGGGAGAAAGAGGAAGAAGGTGAGGAAGAAGAGAGGGACATAGCCTTGACAAATCTGTGGCTTATGTAAAACACTCTTAAGACATAGTGATGAAGGAAGACCCATGTAGAGTTTCAGAATGCATCTGTTTATGGAATCAATGTGCAGGAGGAGGGCAACCTTATTAAAAATCAGATTCCTGGGGCCTGTAGATGCTGTATCAGTTATGTCATTGGACTCCTACACAGCTGACTGTAGTTCGAGTCCCAGATCCAGTGGCTTAAAACTCACACTGGTCATTGGGGTCAGCAGGTGGCATGGTGGTTAAGGTGCTGGACATGGCCAGCCATGGGTCGAGGTCTTGACCTGGTGGCTTGCTTTCTCACTTTCCTTCTCTCTGTGTGTCTTTCTCTGGTCAAGTTAAGATAAATGAATGAATAAATAAAAAAATAATTAAATGAATTATTAGAAAAACAAAACAAAACAAAACAAAGCAAAAAACTTCACACTGGGCATATATATGTGCATGATAAAGATCACAGGAAAAGAATGGAGAAGGGATTGCAGCGTGACTAGCCCTCTGGGTGGTGATTTCTCACTTTCCCTATCGCTGTCTCTGTCTCTCTCTCTCTGGTGAGTGCATGTTCCTTAAGGCAAAAACGTCTTAAAAAAATCAGATTTCCAAGGTTCAGAACAAACTTGGGGCAATAAATTATGGTGTTGAAGTGTCATTGAAGCAATTGACATTTCCAACTAAATCATTAATGACAAATATAATCTATGGTAATAAAAAGTTCTTTAAATTAAAATTACTGGGGCCAGCAGGTGGCCTGGTGGTTAAGGTGCTAGACTCTCACATAGCCAGCTGTGGTTCTAGTCCCAGATCTGACGAATTGAAAATCATGCCAAGTATATGTGCATGCATACCTAAAATCCCAAGCAGAGTCTAGAGGAGAAGGATATGTGATGTGGCCATCCCCCTGGGTGGGTGATTTCTCACTTTCTCTATCACCGTCTCTCTCAGGTGAGCACGAGTGCCCTATAGCAAAAACCTTCAAAATAAAAAAAAGAAGAAATCAAAATTTTGGGCTGAACTTAAGATATATACAAATTTTATGATCACTGTTCTAAAAGCTTGTCATTAGTCTCTATATATGAGCTTTGCACATGTTTTTAAATAAATCTTTATTTCTAAAATTCTGTTTTATTTAAAATTTTTTCCATATGTTGCCATTCAATATGCCAAGAAAACTCTTTATTCCTTAATTTCACTCTACGACATGTTTATGTATCTTGACTATATCATTAATGATGGTGGTTTTCAAACCAGTATTGTAGTCTTTGCAATGGAGGATTAGAACAGTTTATTCCAGCAGGAGATGGAAACTATTTTTCCTTTTCTTTACACAAAGATATAGATTCACAGCACACAAAGATTTTAAGTGTATTTATTCTAGAATATTTTCTTAACAAAACATATAAAGACATATTGTGAATGTTTTATTAAAGGGATTCTACTTTGCCTTTTTTTTTTGAAAATTGTTACCTTTTAATATATTGTCAGTAACTTTATTACGTGATGTTGTAAATACTGAAAGCTCTTTTTATTTTAATAAATAAACTTAAAAAATCTGGACAGAATAGCTAATAATATTATGAAAAACAAAACAGAGATTCTAAAAATATCAATGGACTTAATTCAATGAGTTAAAAGGAAGAAGATGCTGGGCCAGCAGATGGCATAATATTTATGTCACTGGACTAATCACTGTATAGCATTATAATTTATAAAGTGAATTTTCCCAGTAAAAATAACTGTACAGTAATCCAGTGAAAGATATTATTATACACATTATCATCAACAGATAATTTTCCACTTTTGTGTTGCTTAAGTGTTCTGATTCTTTCTTTTTCCCCTTGGTTCCTTTCCTTCACCCTTCCCCATTTCCTACCCTCTTCCCACACTGTCTCTAGTATTTGCAATTGTTCTCTAGACTTTTAAATCTTCCAATCTTCCAGTTTTGCCATAAAGTGTGGGAATGTCAGTTTATAAGAGATATCAGCCATGGTACATGCACAGGTAGCTAATAAAATGGAAATTAAGAAGTCATTAAAACTAGGAGAGGCCAGGGGACCAGCAGTTAGCAAAATGGCTATGTCGCTGGACTCCCATGTAGTCAACCGTGGTTCGAGTCCCGGACCCAGTGGCTTAAACTCACGCGGGGTGCGTGTGTGTGTGTGCCCAAGATCCCAAAAGGAGAATGGAAGAGAAGGGACTGCGGTGTGGCCATCCCCCCCGGGGGGGGTGTGTGTGATTTCTTGCTTTCTGTTTCTATGTCTCTCTCTGTCTGTCTGGCGAGCATACATGCCCTAGAGCGAAAACCTCTAAACAAAACAAAACAAAGAAAACTAGCAGAGGCCCATGTACACTGGTACATGTGTTTGGGAGCTGCTATACCAGGCTGGGGCTGTGGGAGGCCTGGATTTGGTTCTCAGATCAGCTCAAATAGGCCAGGCATGGTGGCATGTGCCTGTAAGTCTAGCTAACCAGGAGGCTGGGCAGGAGCATTGTGACATGGAAAGTTCCTGTGAGAAATAGCAACCTCTTTATCTGTATTTCTCTTTCTCACATCTCAAAGCAAACAAACAACAAAAAAAACTATGAGAGAGGTAGTTTAGGTGCTTTGTTTATTTTTTCCCTCATATAGTCTAGGTAGATATGTGAGTTATGTGACTTTGTGGAAATTCATAAATATTACTAATTAAAATGCAAATGCTAGGTTGACTCGGGTCACTAGGTAGCTGGTAGCTAATTTCCTCAATCGAGGGCTCCAATTCTGCAATACTTCTTATCTGATCTATTTATCTCATTTAAACCTCACAAAACTTCAGAAAGATAAATATTACATTCGGTAGATTCCTGAGTCACTAAGATTGCTAGTATATATTAACTGGAATATTGCAGTTATAAAATTAGTTTAGTGATTAACTGAATGTGAGACCCAACAGAAAGGTTTCCTTTAAGATGATTCCAAAATTTGTCATTTGGAAAACCAAGAATATAGGGTGCCATTAATTATGGAAGAAATATAGGAAAAATGGAAAGATAGTCAGAAACACTGTGATGCCTATATTTTCTGATGTATATATCTCAGTCTTAGGGGAAATGAATAGGTTTCTAGCCCTAACAACTGTTGGGTAGAAAAAATATAGACACCACATACACACACTTATATAAACACTGGATAAATTATGAGAAAAAAATGTAAATGCATAGCTTAGCTCCAAACAAAGATAGGATAAATCTTTGGGAGACAGAAATTTAGAGGGCACTTTAAACCTGAGTAGTAGCTACGCTATTGATGTTGTAATGTCCTGTGGAAAATGTAAAACTAGATTAGATACTCAGACTTAGGGATTGGCTTTCATCACTCACTTTGGGACAAGTGCTGAAATCTTGGCCTAAACCAGTTGGTGGCAGT